ACATACTTGTGGCCTCCAACCCCGTCTGAGCAGCGGTGAAGGCGTGAGCTGCCCCCCGGGCCGGGTGCAGGAATCAGTGATGGGAATGAGCTTGTTCCCCAGCGAGGTGATGCTTCCACTGAGCAGAGGAGCCAGGACGTAGGAGGGTCCCACAGTCCACCGCCTGCCCCCTGGTCAGGTGAAACCAAACCCCAGCCCCTGTCTGCCTGTCCCTGCAGCTTCCTAAAGCTGTCTGTGAATTTGACCCGGAAACGGTGTCAGCCGTGACCGTGGGCAGGGAACACTCCACAGGGGCTGCTGTGGGCCCTGCCCAGGAATGGAATCCATGGGCTGGGTGACTGAGTGAGGGGCTCGCTCCTTGGAACTCGCCCAGGCCCACTGAACCCCTCGGGGATGGGACACAGGAGCAGGGCAGGTGGCGGCACCCCAGCGAGACGCTCGAGCACAAAACCAGCAGTGTTTCCAGTGGGGGGATTCTCAGGCTTATAAACGGGGGCGAAGAGAAAGTCCTGTTCTCTGAGCCAGTTAATTGGTTAATTGCCCAGCGGCTGTCCCGGAGGAGAAAAGCTCCGGAAGTGCAAGTGCTCCTCCCCTCGGAGCTGCCCTGGCCTGGGGGAGGGGGTGCAGCCAGGGCTCCCTGTGGTCGGGCCCAGAAGGCTGGCCTCTGATGTCCCCTGGGTACCACGGCGGGGGGTGGGGGGGGTGGCTATGACCCCCTGGCCTGCCCGGGGTTAGGCTGAGAGGCTGAGCTTGGGAAGGAGGGGGTGCAGGGGCTCCCAGCACCCACACGGCTTTGGGCAGCAGCCAGGACGAGAGGCTGGGACCTCTGGCCAGACCAAGGCAGGAAATGGAGACGGGGAGGAGACAGAAAGAAATGCAAGAGATGGTTCAGTTCTCTCTCTCGGCCTCTATTTTTGGATTAAAGGGTTTTAAAGCATTTATTTTTACTGGAATTTCAAATCAAAACATTAAAATAATAGCCTCCATCCCAAATGAGGTAGAGACGGCACATCACCAGGCAGAGCTCATGCCCACGTGTAGGACCAGAAACGGGACCCTAACCTCAGCCCCCCCCGCCCCAGTGCCCAGCACAGCTCTGAAAGCTGTCACGTTTCCAGGACACGGGGGCTCACTCCCCATCCTGTGGGTGCTCGCAAAGCCCCTGGGGCCTGGGCGGGGCCCGGGAGCCACGCAGGATGTCTGCCTCGCTGAGGACAACTGGAACACGCAGGCGGGGGGCGGGGAAGCAAAGTTGTGACTTATGATCCAGAGCCAGTTTTTTCCAATTTTCCGCCCTGGGCCAGCCACAGCCTACAGATGGAGCCGGCTGGGCGGGAAAGGAATGTGAGGAGTCGGCCCAGCGCTTCAGCGAGGCAGACCCGCCCTGGTAAGCAAGACAGTCTGTCCCAGCATGTATCCTGCCAAACAATTCCGGTGTCCCAGGCCTGTGGCCTGTGCTGGCGGCCTCCCTGGGGTGGCAGGGCCTGCCACACCCCATTCCCAAGAAGTCAAGGAAGGGGTGCTGCCCCTGGCACTGCCAGCCGGTGACTTTCAGGTGAGACGGTACCTTGAGCTGAATCCCCTCCAAGAGCAGAGAGAGGGCGGGTAGCCTCTGTGCAGGGCCAGCCACGGCGAGGACTCCAGGCACCGGGCCCAAGGCAGCAGGCCCCAGCCTGGGCTCCTGGAGGCGGCTCAGCCCAAGGTCGGGGCAGGCTGGGCGCTGAAGCCTGAGGGACCCTGGGGTTGATGGGCTGCCTGCACCTCCTGGGTCAGTGCCCAGAGGCCAAGCTCAGTGGGGAGGGTGAACTCAACCCCCCAGGCCACTGTCCTGACGACAGTAACCTCGGCCCTCCCTGGCTGGGACCTGAGAGTTTACAAGGTGGAAGGGAAGAGAGGCCTTTTGGGGCTATTCAAGGGCCACGTTTTATAGATCTTTTCCCACCTTTTGGTGCTGTCTCAGAGATGAATCTGCTAAAAAGGCATTTTTGTTACAGTCCGATGACTAATGGGTGTGAAAAAAGAGGCCAGGAATTGAGCCTGGGGGCTGAAGGAAGCAACCATAAAACTACAAAGTTTCCAGGACAAGCACTGGCTTCAGAGAACCTGCTGCCTGGGGTGGGGGGCATCACAGCAGGCGAACCCAGCCCTGGGGAGGCCCAGCCAAAGGAGCCCACTCGGGGGTCGGCCTAACCTGTGCGCGTGTGTCCTTGTGTGCGTGCAGCAAGGCTGAATACAGAGCGCAGATAAAGACCGCTAACCGCGTTTCCGCCTGCTCCAGACGCCTCAGATAACCTAATCTGGTCCCTGCCAAGTGTCTCCAGATAAAAGAGGTTCAGGGGTTTGGCTTCTCAGCCCCAAGGACTGGGATGAGAGGCAGGAAAAGTGCTCCAAAGACCTGTTCCTAGGCCCTCACGCCCCACCCCCACCTGGGTTCGCCCAGCCTGTGCTGGCTGCTCCACTTCACCCAACCTTGGTGCCTGGGCTGAGGGTGGGGACATGGGGGCTCTCTGCAGGGTGCCCACCTGAGAGAGTCTCCTAGCCCACTGCCCAGGAAGCAGAGCCTTCCTGGTGCCCCCCCTGCCTGTGACGCCTCAGCCCAGAAGGGGCTCTTGCCTGTGGAGTGGCCTGGGAGGTCCGCAGTTGCCCAGAGTCCCCAGTCCTGGAAAGTTATCTTCCGATAGGCTTCCCTTGTCACAGGTCTGCTGAGCAGCCCATGGAAGCAGAAGTGCTGTCCTGAGGCTGGAGAGGAGCCTGGGCCAGATCGGAAGGCAGCCCTCGGGGTAAGACCCTGCTCTGCTCTCCACCCCACGGGGTGTCCACTTTCTGGCTGACTGATGCAAGGCTCCAGCACTTTTTAGCACAGGTCTGTTTAAGGAGGGGGGCTCTAGAAAAATGTGCGTTATGGGGAGGAATGAGCTTGACAGGAGCCCGTTCTAGTATTTGGTGACGGGACGGTACACGTGTGCTTTTCTGTGGGGTTATAAAGAAA